TTTAAAATTACTTTTTCCTTTATTGGAAACTCAGCTATTTTCACATTATAGAATTCTAATTTCACAATTAAATGTAGGTTTGATGCCTAAAAATATACTTCTCCACGATTTTAATAGAAGCTTTCAGTGTAGAAGTATGAATTTCTAAACTATTTCTTCCATAGCATTGCTTTGAATATATTCACTACTGTAATGAAAGTGTCAACATATCAACCTAAGTCAATTTTTGTCTTTTTTTTCCCTTTATTTCTATTGTTGACACTATTATATGTCCCATTTTCTCCCCTTTCCTCAGGCAACTGTGTCTTTTTTTAAATCTTTCTTTCAGATGTTTTTGTTAATTTCAGAGACTATAGCTAGACTTTTAAAAGAAGGCCTGTTTAATTACCCTGGAAAGCACACAGTCACATGGGACCCTCCAGTGAAACTTATTGCAGGTGCACTCAGTTACATTTTAGAAACAAACATTGCAGATATCTATGATGTTCCTTCATTTAAAAATAGACCCATTATATGAAAGTCAGTTCCATCAAGAAAACAAATGACAAATGTACTAGGGAAAATATTTTTCCAAGCAAAACCTGGTTATGTTTCCATGTGTAAAAGCAGAGCACTGCTGATTCTGAAGTTGTTTGTGGAGGAGCAAACTATTAAAAACTCTTGTGATTGACTTCTTCTAAGAGTTAATAAACAGGACTTTCAGTAACATCTGACCAGGTTTTTCAACACCATGAACTAAATAAAGTCTTTTAAACAGAAATTATGACTGATTACCCTGACTCACAGTAAATTACCAATATAGCAAGGAATTACCAACTAATTTACCGAGTTCTTTACAAAGAATAATAGGTCAAAATATTTCTACTAATATATTAAAAATGTACAGAAACCATAAAATATGAAATGCAGATGTTTATGACCTAATCCTAAATCTAATCTACATCATCAAAGGGTTTGTCTGTTTGTTTTAACATCTTCAAGGTCATCATATATCAGCAGTAAAATCTCTATCCTGGTTCTCTGCACTGTCACAACACTCTAAACAAATGGATATGGTGCTTTTAAGAATTGTTACACAAAGCTCAAATATCCACAATGATGGAGGAGGGGGGTGCCATCAAGAGAAAAAGTTATAAAAACCTTTTGTTGAGCTGTGAATTTCAAGTAAAACATGTAAATTGTTTTAAAAGAACAGAACAGTTTCAGGGGAAAGCCTAAGCAAGAGGTGGTGTGAATGCATTACAGTTCACATATTTTAATATTAATAAATAGAATACATATCAAACTGACAAGAGAGAAGAACTGACATATCAATTTTATATATTACATACATGCACATAAAGATTGGAAAAGAATCTAGAATAATTTAGACATTTCAACTACTTGTTGGGGTGATTTTTTACAAAATTGTTTAATTATATAATAAAGAATACTTTATGAAAAAATATGAGAAGTAGCTCATTAGAAACTGCATAATACTCACAGGAAAGTAATTAAACAGTGGTGCCCTTATCCTTCTGGGATTCTAACTAAGTTAGTTTTAATTCCAAATACTCAGAAAATGAAATCATATCCAACAATTATATCAACTAAGTCCACTAATTCTGACATTCCTTTCATAACAGAAAATTGCAATTGTTCTCTGTATAAATTAAAATGTGCTTAATATAATTGACAGCACTTGCTCCATATGAGACAGTTCCCAAACTGGCCATGTATCCAAGTACCTGGGGAACTTTTTTTTGCTTTGTTTTGTTTTGTTTTGTTTTAGTTGAATTTATTGGGGTGACAGTGGTTAATAAAATTATATAGGTTTCAGGTGTACAATTCTGTAACACATCATCTGTATATTGTACTGTGTGTTCACCACCACAAGTCAAGTCTCCTTCCATCACCATTTATCTCCCCTCACTCTCTTTCCCTCCTTTCCCTCGGGTTCTCTGTGTCTCTGTGTCTGTGTCTTAATCCCTGAAGCCAGTCAGAGAAAGACAAGTATCATATGATTTTACTTATATGTAGAATCTGATGAACAAAATTAACTAACAAACAAAAATAGAAACAGGTTCATAGATACAGAGGACAGACTGACAGCTGTCAGAGGGAAAAGTGGTTGGAGGCTGGGTGAAAAAGGTGATGGAGAACTTTTTAAAAACAAGTTCTTTGCGGGGGGCTTGGATGGGAGAAATAGACAAAAAACTGTACTTAAAAAATAACTAAATAAAAAAAATGAGAAAAAAAACAAGTTCTTTGCATTAACCCATGTGGCTTGATTAGTTAGGCGAAGCAAAGGTCACTGGTTAGAGCCTGGGTCAGGGCATATGCCTGGGTGATGTCCCTCATCAAGAGAGGCAACAGATTGATGTTTGTCTTACACATAGATGTTTCTCTCCCTCTTTTTCCTCTCTATGAAAATAAATAAATAAAATCTTTAAAAAACAAAATAAATAAAATTCTTAATAAAAAATAAGTTCCTGGGTCCCACTTGCTGGAAATTATGATTTGGAAAGTCTGGAGTGAATGCAAGGAATCAGTATATATGATAAATAATGTAAAGCTTTGTCACATTAGTGTATTCAGGGACTTCCTCCACTGATTCAGCTAGTTCTTGGGACTGTTTCCCTATTTCAGGGCTTTTCAAACTCTGCTGTATATATATATATATATATATATATATATATATATATATATATATATATATATATATATATATCACCTGCAGATGTTAACAGGCAGATTCTGATTCAGTAGGTCTAGAATGAGCCCTAGGAACATGCAATTCAAACAAGCTCCCGGGTGACGATCCATGCTGCTGGTCCAGGGACTACACTTGGCATGGTGAAACCTTATGGGATCTTTGCATTTTTCCACAGGTGAATGATAGGCCACAGATCCTATCACTAGAATATTTTCTTCAAGTTTTACCTGAACATAATTTAGCATACCTACAGTGCATAATTTGTAAGATATTTGACCTATCTTTTGTTTTCTGTCTTTTACTCCCATCCCAGCCCACCCCCCAGTGCTCCCTACCTCCCTCCCATTTCCACCCTGACCTATCTTGACTATGGAGCTTACTACCAAGTGACTGGAACTTACATGTTACTACTGTCACAATGCACAGGTGAAATTAAAATTTATGTTATTTTCAATATATATATATACAAGGATGTTCACCACAACCATGGTTATAATAGTGAAATAATGGAGAAAAATCTAGATGTCCAATAATAGAAGACTAATTAAATAAATTATAAGGGCATCTATTAAAATAATGATATAAATGTACAATTACTGGCAATGAAAAGATGTTAATGGTTAAGTTTTTTGAAAAGATTTTGTAAAACCCTACAGTTTGATTCCATTTTGTGAGGGAGAAAATATACAAAAAGTCACACACACACACACACGCTAAAGAAAGAGTCCAGAAAGATATATAATAAGTTGTTTAAAGCATCCTCAAAGTAGCAGAATTTCTAGTGGTTTTGATGTTTCTTTCCTTGCATTATGTAATATTTCTACTGTGACACAGACCTTATAAGATTCTTAAAGGGTAAAAAGGGGTTGAGAAGAAAATCAAGCAAATCCCATACCTGCACATACCTTTAAGGAACTACTAGAGTGGCTCTAGTGCTAAGTAATTTGCATTCCACAGATTCATCAAGGGACTTCCTACATACAAAGCACTTTGAAAGCCTGTTAAATTGCTGTTTTGCATCTCATCCAGACTTAATGATTCTGAATCTCTGACAATATGCTCTGGAATTTGCATATGAAGCAAACAATGACTTTCACAAAGTAAAGTTTGGAAACCAGGCGTTAAAACAGCTTCCTAGACATGCAGGGATTTTCACTAAATTCCAACCTTTCTAAATAGCAACCTACAGCATATTCAGAGTGTGTGACATCTTACACACCCACAAGCAGAGACCACTGGAATTTGAACAACAACCTGTATTGAACAACCGGCTTTATTCAAGATTAATGTTAAGCATCTCATGTGAATACTGACCACTTCTCATAAGCTGATTTGAGGTCACAAAAGTTTTCCTTATATTTGACCTACGCCTTTCTGAAACTATTCACATTATAACTCCTTCTGTAATACTCGACCCCCATTTTGTCATCCATCAGTTAGAAGTCCACATTAACATTTATTATGGAACAAAATGTCTAAGTGATTCAACTATGGTCTTGTTGGTTTCATTTCTCCTTTCTAAGCACATTTCATTTGACTAACCCCAGTAGATTCTACTGATTATTTCTTCAGGAGATCCTCTCTGACGTAAACTCAAAGGCCTGTGGGAGTCTATATTAATAGAGGTCCTCAAAGAATTAAGAAAAGCATTTGCTTTTCTAAATAACATTACGTGAACCCCCCCCCCAAATTTCCTGCAAAAAAAAAAAAGAAAAGGAAGAAATCACACAATATACAGGGTCTGGAAGAAATAACGCCATTGAGTGTTTTTGGTAGGGTTTCAGATGAGATGGACAGCAATTTGAACATTTCACCTACAATGTCATATGGTGTGCTTGAGTGTGATATTATGTTACAGAAATACATGCTTATTATTGTGTAATAAAAGATTTCTATGTAATAAAAAAGAGGTGTTATTTGTGCCAGGCCCTGTATTTCTCATATATCATGACAGCCTCAAGTACATATACACAGTCAACTCATAAGGCATTAATTTAGTAAAAGTTTTCAAAATCAGACTTTAAGGGTTTCAGGAATGTTAATTTCCTAACATTAATAAATTAAGAGGTTTTCCCAAACAAAGCCACAGTACCTTCCCCCCACCTCAAAACAAAGGGAAAAGCAACATGAGAAAAAAAATGTGCTATGAGCTCCTAAGAGGACCTAGAAAGAGAGCATTAATTTCAGAGAGGTGAGAGGACAAGCCCTTCATTTTAATCTGTGATACACTTTAATCCTGGATCATTCAGAAGGCCAAGTCAACTAAAACTGGAATTTATTAAAACAAAGAAGATTATATACCCACCTGCAACTCACACCAAGCAACCTCGACCCATGTTTCAGTGTCCAGTCCTTTATATACTGTTTTAAACGCTCCTCTTCCTAACTCGATGTCGAATTTCAGGAACCTGCCGCTAGGAGAAGTAGCTACAGCCTTCATTTCTGCTTCTTCTTCCATTTCCTTTTCATTTCTCTCCTTGAAACAATCTTTTGAGGAATCAGAAGCTGCCTTTGAACAATGTGCGAACTTAACTTCTTGTTCACCTCTTAGCACATTTGTAGGAAGCTTTTCTACTCTTGGAATGTTTGTTGCGGTCTTTGTTCTCTGATCTTTGGAGGAAGATTCAATGACTTTGTCGTCAACACTCTTTCTGAAAAATCTCTTCCTTTCTATAGTTTCTCCAGAAGCAGAGATGGTACTGTCTTTTTCCTTTCGTCTAGCTTCCACTGTCAAAATTGTTGCCATCTGATGAACTCTGTTTTCAAATGAAACTCCATCAGGTTTCTCAGAATCTTCTGTGCTAGCTGGCTCCCCTGAATCAGTAGCCATTGTAGCTGAGGTTGGCACTAACTTTTTTCCTGTTCTACTCTTTAGTCCAGTTACATCTCATGTACCAGAATTATGAGAATGGAATTCCTTTTATGTGGTCATGTTTCCATAGTAACCTGAAGGGGGGGAAAAAAGGACATTTTAAAATCACCCCACAAAATCATTCAGGAGAAAATAAGTCACCTGATTATTTAATCCATTTTTTCTTAATAAGAAGTTTCTTCTTTTTTCTGTCTAATCTTAGCAACCAGCAGACTTCAGGGACTATGTCTTATCTTGTTTACCACTGTAGTCCTCAGTGCCTAGCAGCAGGCTACTTGGCACATAGCTCAGTAAGTCTTCATATTGAATGAATGTTGCTTAGAAACCTAGTTCTCAGTCCCATCTATCAGTGCAATCCATCATATTCAAAACAAGTATCTAAACCCTGACTTTGCTTAGCTACAAGGTAACAGACACAGTAAGTAAACAAGCCCATAATTTCTCAGTGGTGGTTTTTGTCTAAAATTCTGGAATTAACCTGATAGGTTTTTTTTATTGTAGTAAAATATACTTATGTCAAATTTATTATTTTACCCATTATCAGCATACAATTCAGTGACTTTAAGTACATCTACAATGTTGTGCAATCATCACCATTATCTATTTCCTGAATGCTTCACCATTCCAAATTGAAATTTTGAACCCATTAAACAATCACTCGCCCTGCCTGGTGTGGCTCAGTGGACTGAGCACCAGCCTGCAAACCAAAGGGTTGCTGTTTCCATTCCCAGTAAGGGCACATGACTGGGTTGTGGGCCAGGTGCCTCAGTAGGGGGGCTCACGGGAGGTAACCACACACTGATGTTTCTTTCCCTCTCCCTTGCTCTCCTTTCCCCTCTGTCTAAAAATAAATAAATAAAATGTTTAAAAAATAACTCTTTATCTCCTGGTCCCGAAGTAATCTCTATCATACTTTCTGCCTCTATGAATGTTTATTCTAAGTACTTCACATAGGTGGAATCATACTATATTTTCCCTGTTGTATCTGGCTTATTTCACTCAACATAATATTTGCAAGGTTCTCTGATGTTGCAGCATGTATTAGAATTTCATTCCTTTTTAAGGTCGAACAATAATTATTACACTCTATGAATATACCACATTTTGTTTATCCATTCATCTGGTCAATGAACCAGGTTATTTCTACCTTTTGATTATTATGAATAATGCTGTTATGAACATCCAATAGTTTTCTGTTTGTTTGTTTTAAAGATTTTACTTATTTATCTTTAGAGGGGAAGGAGAGAGGGACAGAAATATCAAATAACAGGTATGGTTGCCTCTTGTGAGTCCCCTGCTGGGAACTGGCCTGCAACCCAGGCACGTGCCCTGACTGGGAATCAAACCACGATCTTTTGGTTCACAGGCCTGCACTCAAGCCACTGAGCTACACCAGCCAAGGATTAAGTTCTATTTTTTAATTAAAGTTAACATTCAGTATGATTTGATATTAGATTCAGGTGTACAGCAAAATACTGAGGGGATCACTTTGTAAAGTACACGACTGCCTAAGGAAAAAGTTTCTCAAATGAATGGTCAAACCACCAATAAGAAATTTCTTCTCTTCTTACACAAACATGCATCACAAAGTTAAGTCTCTATACCTGTTAATATGTTATATACCTTAGAAGATATAATTTTTCATATCAAAAATACATAGAAATATCAAATTTCAAAATTTGAGAACAACCCTTAACTAAAATAAACAAAATGAGGATAAATATGACAAATTGTTCCACATATTCAGTACAATTACTATCAACATCCCTGATGGTTTCTTTGCAGAAGTAAACAAACTGACCCCAAAACTCATAAAACTTCAAGAGGCCCAGAACAGACAAAGCCAAAACAACCTTGAAAAAGAACAAAGTAGTAGGAATCACACTTCCCAATTTTAAAACCTACCACAAAACAAACTTCCAACCAAGACGGAGGCATGGGTAAATACGCTTTGCCTCCTCACACAACCAAAGAAGGACAACAACAAATTTAAAACCAAGAAACAACTAGCACTGCCAGAAAAATCAAACTGTATGGAAGTCTGAAAACCAACGAATTAAAGAAGAAAAATTCACCCAGACCAGTAGGAGAGGCTGAGAAAGGCAGCTGGGGCAGACAGGACACACAGCAAGTTGGCAAACAGGGCGTGCAAAGTGGCAGGTGGTAGACCAAGTGGTCCCACATTCGAGCGCAGGTAAGCTGGGAGGGACAACTGAGCAATGAGACAGACCTTGCAACCTAGGGTTCCAGCACTGGGAAATAAAGCCTCAAAACCTCTGGCTATAAAAACCTGTGGCGGTTCCAGGAGCAGGAGAAATTCCCAGCCACACAGGAGAGTTCCTTGGAGAGACCCACAGGGTCCTAGATGGTACACAAACACACCCACTCAGGAATCAGCACTGGAAGGGCCCAATTTGCTTGTAGATAGTGGGAGAAGTCACTGAAAGTGCGGCAAGAGCCAAGCAAGTGGCATTGTTCCCTCTCAGACCCATCCCTCACGTACAGCGCCACAACACAGCGACCTGGGTTGCCCCAACCGAGTAAAGACCTAAGGCTTCACCCCTCACAATGTAACAGGTACAGCAAGACAAAAAAAAAAATGGCCCAAATGAAATAACAGATCAAAGCTCCAGAAAAAATACATCTGAGCAATGAAGAGATAGCCAACCTATCAAAATGCACAGTTCAAAACATGGGTAATTGGGATGTTCACAGAATTGGTTGAGTATGGTCACAAAATAGAGGAAAGAGTGAAGGCTATGCAAAGTGAAATAAAGAAAAATATACAGGGAGCCAACAGTGAAGGGAAGGAAACTGGGACTCAAATCAATGATTTGGAACAGCAGGAAGAAATAAACACTCGATCAAAACAGATGAAGAAAAGAGGAATTCAAAAATATTAAGAGATGCTTAGGAACCACTGGTACAACTTTAAATGTTCCAACACATGAATCACAGGGGTTCGAAAAGGAGAAGACAAAGACCAAGAAATGAAAAACATATTTGAAAAAATAGTGAAGGAGAACTTCCCCAATCTCACAAAGGAAATAGACTTCCAAGAAGTCCAGGAAGTTCAGAGAGTCCCAAAGAAGGTGGACCCTAGGAGGAACACACCAAGGCACATCATAATTACATTAGCCAAGATTAAAATGAAGGAGAGAATCCTAGAAGCAGCAAGAGATAAGGAGACAGTGACCTACAAAGGAGTTCCTATCAGACTATCAGCTGATTTCTCAAAAGAGACCTTACAGTGAAGAAGGGGCTGGAAAGAAGTATTCCAAGTCATGAAAGACAAGAACCTACAGCTAAGATTGCTGTATCCAGCAAAGCTTGCATTTAGAATGGAAGGGCAGATAAAGTGCTTCTCAGATAAGATCAAGTTCAAGGAGTTCATCATCACCAAGCCCTTATTATATGAAATGTCAAAGGGACTTATCTAAGAAAAAGAAGATAAAAAAGATGAACAGTGAAATGACAACAAACTCACAACTATCAACAACTGAACAGGAAAAACAAAAACAAAAACAAACTAAGCAAACAACTAGAACAGGAACAGAATCACTGAAATGGAGATCACATAGAGGGTTATCAGTGAGGACCAGGAGGGGGGAGAATGGGGAAAAAGGTACAGGAAATAAGAAGCATAAATGGTAGTTACAAAGTAGACAGAGGGAGGTTAAGAATAATATAGGAAATGGAGAAGCCAAAGAAATTATATATACAACCCACGGACATGAACGAAGTGGGGTAATGCTGGTGCAAGGAGGGGTGAAGGGCAGAGGGGGATAAAGAGGCGAAAAAATGGGACAATCAATAAAATACACTTAGAATTTTTAATAAATAAAGAAAAATAAAACCTCCCACAAAGCTATAGTATTAAGATGGTGTGGTAGTGGCATAAGGATAAATAAAATACAAGTAAAGAATCCCGAAATAAACCCACATATTTACTGTCAGTTGATTTTCAATAAGGGTGCCAGGACATTTCAGTGGGGAAATAACATTCTTTTCAACACATGGTACTGGGTAACTGGATATCTATATGCAAAAGAATGAAGGCTGCCCTAGCTGATGGTGCTCAGTGGATTGAGCACAGGCCTGAGAACCAAAGGGTCACTGGTTCGATTCCCAGTTAGGGCACATGTTTAGGTTGCTGGCCAGGTCCCCAGTAGGAGGCATGAGAGGCAACCACCCATTGATGTTTCTCTCTCTCCCTCCATTCCCCTCTCTTTTAAAATAAATAAATAAAATCTTAAAAAAAAAGAATGAAGGTTTACTGGAACAAAATGCTAGAATTGACTCTCAAATAAAGAAATTAGCTGATTCAAGCAGAGGGAAGATAACAAAGTCACAAAACAGCATAAAGTAGGTATATGAATGGTACCATGAACAGTTTACTTGCATATTAGAAGCAGGCAGATGAGGACCAAAGGACAGATAGTCACTGAGGAATTCTATGCCACACAATATAAAATAAGACGACGAGTTCGAGATCTACTGCAATAATCCAGGAAAGAGATACTGAGGTATGAATGAAAATGTTGGCAATAATAGATTCAAGATGTATTAAAGGAAATTCTGAATTCAAGGTTTACTGCACGAATGAATGTGGTTGCAAGGGGAAAGGAAGAATCTGTAACTCCCAGAAATGTGCCTGTCTAATGCCTATCTATTTGCACTACTAGGACATACCATGTTAATACTAGGGCTAAGAATTATAGTCATGTTCCACATAATGACACTTTAGTCAAAGACAGACCACATCCATCATATAGGCTTGGTGTCTAGTAGGCTGTACCACTTGGATTTGTGTCAGTACACTCTGTGATGTTCACATAGATGAAGTTGCCTAAGAAGATATACCCCTGCTGTTAAACAGTACATGACTACGAACTAAGGACTCATGAACTACTTTATGAGATTCTATTGCCAGATCAATCTATTTTGAAAGTCACAGAATAA